CCAGACAGCAGGCTGCATTTGCAATGGAGGAGGTGTTTGGGGAAGGCAGCAGGGAAATGGGGGGGGGGGGTGGGGAGGGGAGCTGCTTTCAAGCCATTGGAAAATATATCCAATCCAATTTCTGTGTTTGTTTGAGAGAGAATGAGAGAGAGAGGGAAGGGGCTAGGAGAGATAGTCCAATCCAACTTCTCTGTGTGTGTGTGTCTGTTTGAGAGATGGGTGAGGGAGGAAGAGAGGGAGGAAGGAGGGGGAAGGGGAATAAAAAGAATGAACAAAACTTTTTCGCAAAGGAGAAAAACAAATGCTGTCACTTTAAATCGGAACTGAGCATGCCTGGCTGTGGAATTCTGTTGAAGTCCACAAGTCTAAAAAAATTTTGAAACTCACCACTGTATCAGTGCCTCATCAGCCATAAACCTCACCGCACATCACTGTTGTGGATACATCTGATTTTTGAACTATGTCTCATTACATTGATCCAATCTATTAAACGATAGAATAGAAACTCAAATCAGTTTGTTTCTATACCCAACCACAATGCAAAGTTTTCTTGATTCAACACAGGTGCCCCAAAAGAAAAAAAATATTCTGCATGGGCAGGTTCTTTGAGAAGTTAATGACACAGTCTAAAGCTATTGTTGCAGGTGATAAATATGTTTTCTTCCAAAGAGCCATAAAAATGAATACGAGAGATAATTCTGAGATCAATAATAACTTCATATTAATATGGTGTTTTGTTTTGTTTTTTAAAGCTAAAATGTATTTCTGAAGCTATCAGTTTAAACGTATAAGGAACTCTGAAAAATATTAAAGTTATCTATATAATTTGCTCAAATAATATCAAGGAATTAGTTATTTTTTTGGTGACTTTCTTTTTTAGAGTTTACAGGTCATTTCAATGGGGAGGAGGGTTGTGACCAAGTGTGATGTGAAAAAACTGCATATCACATTGAAATGGGAATCGCAATTTCCATGTTGAACAATCAATTCAGTAATCCCTCAAAATGGGATTTTGCTACTGTTTTTATGGCGCTGTTGCTTATTTGTGAGTTCCAGGCATTTGGTCTTATGTTCAGTATGAATAGCAATAGCACTTAGGACTTATATACTGTTTTACAATGCTTTACAGCCCTCTCTTAAGTGATTTACAGTGTCAGCATATTGCCCCCAACAATTTGGGTCCCCATTTTACCCACTTCGGAAGGATGGAAAGCCTTTGGAGATTTGAACTGTTACTTGCAGGCAGCCAGTTAGCACAAAGAGCCTGCAATACTGCACTTTAACCACTGGGCCATTATTGCTCATTTAATCTACTTGTTTAATGCATTAGTACTGCACAATTATGGTTGTGTCTCAACTTTTTGCTGACTTTGCATGTTTCAGAGAATCTCCCAAAATGGGAATTGTTGGATTGGCCCAACTGAATTCACATACTTGGATCAAACCGAAAATGAGCAATTCGGGTTAACTATTTTTCGTCCTTTGGTGCAAATATACGCAAACCCGGTTCTGCCACATATTTCTTCCAATTCTCAGGGCCATTTGGCTGAGAGAGACAGGCTTTTGCCCAACATACTCCGGACTGTCAGTTGAGTTAAGAAGCCATTCAGAAATAAGAAGAACATTTACGCAAATTGTGATCATTTTTCGACGTGAAGGAGGGTAAGAATTAGTTCGCAAAATCCCCCCTTGAACCGGGTTGGACTACAACGTGGGTAGGTTGTGAGAACCTGAACTGGTATGAGATCACCATTTCGCCATCGATGTGACTTTCAGTCGTTTCGGCTACAGCTTCCGTCACTTGCAAAGATGACGCGGAGTCCACGTTGAGTGTAACGTGAGGGACAGAGGAAAGATTGACAGGCAAAGCTACTCCCCGCAGGGATTCCAATGGGGCGTTTAGCACCGTCAGGTAAAAGGAATTTTAAAAGGCTCGTCGTTGCATTCAATCTTTCCACAACGGAGGAAAAGAGGGAGCGGCCACCCTACTAAGAGGGAGAATGGCTCCATCAGGCGCAGCTCCGGAACCGAGAGTCGCGCGGGTTGGTGTTTCCCGAACGAGGGGCGGGGATAATCGGGAAATTCTCGGGAAAACATTAGCTTTCGCTTTTTGCTGGGTTTTAATCAAAGAGGAAAAGGCGACAGCGTCGAGATCCTTTAAGGTAGGCAAAATTATCTTGAGTACCGGAGCGCTTTCTTGCTTCTTTCCCACCACTATCACTTATATTGCTTCGCCTACAGGAAAAACAAAAAAAAGTATAAGCTTACCTTCCCGATACGTTACTGTCACGATCTTCTGTTCTGGATTTTTTGCGAACCACCTTTGTTTCCCAAGTCCACCCCTTTACACTGAAGTCTCCCAAAGAAGCAAGCAACTTCTATGTCCTTAATCCACCCAACCTTGAATTTCTATTTCTCTATTCTTGGTCAATCTGTACGGGTCATACTGTACCCCTAATCACATATAGTTTCCAACATTCTGGCTCTTCTTAGTGAACCAAGAAAACAGACTAAAAGGAGGCTTGCAGAGTGTTCCTGGGGTTTGGCAGGGGCCAAAAACAAGCAAAAAACAGCCTGGGGTTTTTTGTTTTTTTGTGTGAAAACAGATCTTTTATTGTCAAAAAAAGGGGCATTAGGAAGCTTATAGAGTGCTCCTGGGGGCTGGGCGGGAACAGTTGAGCAAAAATACCACTGTTTTTTGCTCATTTCTGCCCTCCCCAGTTCCCAGAAGCACTCTGAAAGCCTCCTACAAGCTATGCATGGCCATTTTGATGAAGGGGGGGGGGGGAATCGGGAGGCAAAAATTGCTGTATTCAGTGTATAAGACACACCCAGATTTTCAGTCTCTTTTTTTTGAGGGGAAAAAGGTCCATCTTATACTCTGAAAAATAACGTATGTATGTATGTGTAGTGAAGTGTGGTGAGGTTTATGGCTGGTGAGGCACTGACACAGGGGTTTCAAATTTTTTTAGACTTGTGGACTTCAACTCCCAGAATTCCACAGCCAGGCATGCTCAGTTCCGATTTAAAGCAACAGCATTTGTTTTTTGTTTTGCGAAAAATTTTCGTTCATTCTTTTTCTTCTACCTCCCCATCCTTCCTCCCTCTCTTCCTCCCTCCCCCCTCTCTGAAACAGATATGCACATAGAGAAGTTGGGTCCCTCTCTCACTCACTCACTCTTAAACAAACACAAACACAGAAGTTGGATTGGGTATATTTTCCAATGGTTTGAAAACAGCTCCTCTGCCATACCCCCCCCCCCAATTCCCCTGCTGCCTTCTGATTCGAGCCTTTGATTGCAAGTAGAGCCACGTTGCCTTTTCAAACTTGTAATCAGTGAAGCTGGGCTTGTATACTTTTATCCAGCTCTGTGTGTGTGTGTGTCTGCGTTTCTGTGTGTGTGTTTGAAAAGGTAACGTGGCTCTGTATGCAATCAAACTTTTTGAATTTCTCCCCCTCCCTCCGACCCACACACGTACCATTTCCAGCTGTTTCAGAGGGGATTTCAACTCTGCTCTTGCCTGTCATCATGAAAAGAAAAAAAAATGTAAAAGGAAAAAGGCAAGAACTGAGGTCAGGCTGAGCTAGTTGCTGCCAGAGCGTCTAAAAAGCCTCTAAAAAAACGCCCTCTACAGGAGGCAGGAGAACGACATGCCTCATCTATGTCAGGGATTTTTCAGATTTAACCTTTGCTTGGCTCTGCTCGAGTGATCATAAAGTCAGACTAGATAAGGCACCTCGTTCTCCTGCCACCTCCTGTAGAGGGCATTTTTTTAGAGGCTTTTTTAAATAGTTAAGCACTAAGCAGAGTCATCCATGGTGACTCTGGAAGCAGCTAGCTCAGCCTTTTTCCTTTTACATTTTTTTTTCTTTTCATGATGACAGTGGTGAGGCTCTGCCACCCTTGCCTCCCCTGACTGCACGTATATGTATATCTATATATATGTATAAATATTAATCAATGTCCATTTTGAATACATAACGGAAAGAGGCAACTTGAGAGTTCACAAGACTGATGCTATATGGAACAAAACTGTGATTCAATCTGGATGTTCTGCTTCGGATACCAGGAAGCCACCTCCCAGAATGTAACAAGGAAAACAGGCTGTGAAGATGATGTGTAGAGTCCCAGACAATACTGTGGACCCTGCTCAAGCATTGCTTGTATGTTATGTCCTGGATAGAAAGAAGTGAACTGCCAATAATCTTTTCTGCCATCTTTACCACTCTCTGCACTGCCTACTTGTCTATTAACTAGTTACTCCTACTTCATTACCATATCAAGAATGACTTCCAGGAGTCTAGTTAACCTCATAAATCAAAGCAAGCAAAATGGCCAGTTGTTACACTACAGTTCCCATAACTTCTGATAATTAGTGATGTTGGCATGGGTTTATGGGAATCAGACAAGCTCTTGAAGGCTACAATTCCTAGCTTCAACTTAGATTGGTGTACTAAATATTTAGGAAATGTTTTTGTTTCTTGATATGTGTATGGAGCCACAGATATGACTATGGAGCTGTTAAGACAACAAATGGAGAAAGAGCTGCATTAAAATATATTCTAGACTTCTGTGGAGCCATTTTTGTGACCTGTCTGGTCTACCTTATAGGATGACAATACATAATTATATTATAGAAAGAATATCTGGCTTGAGTTTTTTGCATTTGCTGTAATCTCTTATATCGAACTATCCAGAAAAGTCATGTCATGTAGCAGAAAGTGAAAGCAGATGTGTCTATTTGTGCTTATTTTGAAATCTGCTCCGCTAAAGAAGAGCATGAAAATATTTTCTCTCAAATCCTCCTTATCCTAGTGGGATGCTGTGTTAGCTTTCCATTGCATAGAGATAGCTAAAGTGTTGTCTGTTTGTGGTTTTTATAATTTGGATGATGTTCAATCTCAGTGGCTTTAACAGAACAGAAAAAAATGATTCCATTGCAGTAATGGATTCTGCTGAAGAAAGCAACATTTTTGCCGGCTTTAGCTGCAGGAAATTTTTCTCTGGATGAATTCACAAATTGAATTAAGCTACAATATGGCTTGCTTAATTTGATGATTTTATAGAGGTAAAGTAAGACTTCAAACGTCCAATGATTTGATTTTTTGATTATTCTCTACTGGCTTTCTGATTGCAGATGTGACATAATGGACAGTGCAAACAGGGAAACATGGTTATTCCTGGTTTGTGTTATGGCCCATCGAACCTTTAACTAATTTATAAAAGACGCAAAGTAACAATGACTAAAAATGAAAGAATTCACCACCAGGAATTGGCCAGATGAGCCATTTTGCTTAGCTAGAACAGCTCCTGTACCATGTCAGAAAATCATATAAACTTTTTCAGTTGAAATGACTTATAAATAATGTGGGAATATATTCTCTTAAAATAAAAAGGATAATATTTTTTGTCTTCCACAGTTGGTGTGCCTTGTTTCTCCTCCATAGAGCATCAATTATGGAGCAATGTGGCCTCCTCACCTCCTTGAAAGTGCCAGGTAAACTGAGAATCTGCTAAAATTGAGTAAAATGGCAAGTTGCATATGACTTAAAAAGGAAGTCATGGTGTCTTTGACCTTATGATTTTAATTCTATAGCTTTGCAGGTCATTTGTATACTCTGCCCCTGAAGAGTATCCGGAAGTTTCAGCTGGTGCAAAATTCAACAAGACCTGCACAAACTACATCTCTGCTCTCTGAGCTTCTTGGGTTGCCAGTTTGCTTCCTGATCCAATTCAAAATACTAATTACAGGTTGTCCTCGACTTACAACCACAATTGAGTCCAAAATTTCTGTTGTGGAGGCGTTTGTTAAATGAGTTTTACCCCATATTATGACCTTCCGTGGCACAGTGGTTAAGTGAATCACTGCAACTGATAAGTTACCGTGTTTCCCTGAAAATAAGACCCAAAATAAACACTTGGCTTTATTTTTGAGGTCTTATTATTTTTGAGGAGCAGGAGGCGGTGAGCGTGGTCACTCATGACTGCTGCTGTGTTGCAATATTTTCAGGGAAGGCTTATTTTGGGGGAAGGGCTTATTTTAGCACATGCACTCAAAAGCCCGATTGGGCTTATTATCCAGAGAGGTCTTATTTTCAGGGAAACAGTAGTAACACAGTTTATTAAGTGACTCTGGCTTCCCCATTAACTTTGCCTGTCAGAAGGTTGAAAAAAAGGGGCTCACATGACCCCAGGAACACTGCAACCGTCATAAATGTGAACTAGTTGTCAAGCATCCGAATTCTGATTATGTGACCATAGGGTTGATTCAAAGGTCATAACTGAAAAAGGGTCATGAATCACATTTTCAGTGCTGTTGTAACTTTGAACTGATCATTAAATGAACTGTTATAAGTCGAGGGCTACCTGTATAACTTTTCAAACCTTACATGGCACAGGATCAGGTTATTTGAGGGACCGCCTCTCCCCAACTCCATTTATCCATTCCATCCTATCCAGCAGAAATGGCACGCTGTGGATCCAGTCAGCCAATGAACTTTATTTAGCAGTAAAGGCCAAATATGTCTTTTTTAAGGCTCCTGTCTCAATATGCGTATTTTCCAATGAGATAGACTCAGGCAGGAAAATCATTTAATGACAATTTATAAGAATATTCACACAGAGAGGATTCCTCTCATTCAAAGAGGGAACCCAGATCCTTACCTTAGGTTCCATTTTATAGTTAACACAACAAAGACAATGCAAGAGGAAAAGTTAATTAGATAGGGTAAAAGAAACCCCTCCTACAGTAAATCAGCTACATATAGTCAAACGTGTTACATGTATGTCAATTTAAATGAAATCTGGTGTCAGAAGAGGCGTAAAATGTAGCAAGGAAAAGGTTGTTCGGAGTTTACGAAGAGACAAACCAGACACCAGCCAATTAGCAGCTAACAAACCTTTTCTTATCTAATCTCTAGCCCTCCCTCCTATAGTTTATCTTTTCAGTTTAGGAATGTTACAAGCTATTGATCAAGCCATACAGCAACAGGGTAAAAGGTTCTACATTCCAGCATGTAATGAGCCTTACTGCCATTTTAAAAGAGAAAAATAAGTTAAATTAATTTAAAGCTCTCAGCCATTTTCAGTTCCTCGTTTTGTTTTCAAAATTATGTACTTTTCAAAATCACATTTCACAGCAACAGCTCAGCAGGATTACAAATAGTTCTGATACACTTTGAAATCTTTCTATCTAAAACTTTGGTGTTTAGGGCCTGCTTTTTCCACTTAGGCCTTACTGATTTTAATAGATCAATAGGCTATATTTTCGTTTCCCACACCAGGAAAAGAGCCTTTCTATTGGGGTACCCACCCTTTGGAACAACTTTGCCCTGAGGTGAAACTAGTCCCATCCTGCAGGGCCCTCAAAAACGACCCTCAAAACCTGTATATGCATCTAGCTTGTAGAGCCCCTTATATGGTTGCATTGTATATATACGGTAAGTTTAGAAGGTGTTCCCCCTGCCTTTTTGTTACTGTAGTTTTTGTGTTTTTTCAGTTGGTTTTGATCATTGGATTTTGTGATTCTTCGTTTTTTAATTATGTACGGTGCCCAGGAACACACATGTGAGATGAGTGGCCATATAAATGCCATACATTAATAATGATTTGGGAGTTACAGATCTTGGGGTAGGGGCATAACACCTACAAAAGAGACATCTTGCCAGCACTTTCAACAGTTGTAACAGTAACAGAGTTGGAAGGGACCTTGGAGGTCATCTAGTCCAACCCCCTGCTCACGCAGGAGACCTATACTAGGCATTTGAACCACTGAACTTTCTGATCGATAAGCTCAGTGTCTTAGCATGGGGTTTTCTGCTCTGGGCCCGGCCAGATAGTGAGTTAACCATCCTCTTTTTGTTATTTTCCACACCCCAGTGCCTTTGAAAAGCATTTCTGTGGATGTCATTATACGAGGTTTCGTGGCTGACGTAGTATCCGAACTTCAGTACCAGAATGAGGAAAAGAATCCAGTGGAGACCACCTTTGTCTTCCCTCTGGATGATGAAGCCGCAGTCTATGCCTTTGAAGGTCTCATCGGTGGGACACGGATTGAGGCCCAGATCCGAGAGAAGCAGCAGGTATAGAAAACGAAAACATTTCAAAATACAAGGATATGGTTCTGGGAAGGCAAAAAAAGGTTATATTCCTGCACTCAGATTCAATCTACATGTCACAATGAGATAGGCTAAACAGGCTTAAATACATTTCCTTCAGGTTTGATATATTTACTTGACATTTGTTTCTCTACTATAATGAAAGGTAAGTAGGAATATATGACTTCCCACACATGTAAATGTGTTTTTCATTTGAAAGGAAGATTATCTGGAAAGGTTACTAAACTCCCTGTCTGATAACTAGGTGCATGCAATCTTCTTGACAACATCATGAAGGTGAATTGCCATTGCTGACTGGGATTTTTTTAAAAACCCTAAGTCCCAGAGGCACTTTATTTGTGGCCACTTTAATAAGTGATATTGTCCTGTTCTTGCTTCTTTCTCCGTCTTCTTCAACACAGGCAGAACAAGAATACCAAGATGCCGTGAGCGAAGGCCGCCAGGCTTTCCTGCTTGAGAGAGAAGAAAATGCCAATGACATTTTCACGTGCAGCCTGGGCAATCTTCCTCCTGGTGGGGAAGCCATACTGAAACTACGCTATGTTCAAGCATTAGCGGTGGAACCAGATGATGCCGTCCGTTTTGTCCTGCCAGCTGTCTTGAACCCCCGCTATGTTCCTGAAGGTAACTAACTATATTCCCAAGTCCAGCATGGAATCCCCAAAGCAAAGCCTCCAATGGCCCCCCTTACCACCCTCCCTGCTCAATGGTGCCAAGAACTGGGACAATTAACTCAGCTTCATCCTAAAAACCAACAGTGGTGGCTGGACTCATACGAGACATGGTACATGTACGATGCTTACATAGGAGTTGACATGTTCTGCACATTATTGGGATGTGAAGCTAGCAGGGTTTCAGTCACATTGGGCAAACACAGGTATAGTTTACCATTAAAACGATAAACTCTTGAAGTAAGCTTGAGTAGATAACATGCTGCCATTGATCCTTTCCATTTAATTTTACCGTTTTCTTTATTTTTACTAATGGATACAGTTCAAAATAATGTGCAGTTACTAGACCAGACTTTTGCAAGATGGTCCCCACCAGATGAGTAGAAGAAGGTGCAAAGACCTTGGAGACTTTCAGCTATCACTTCCCATTATTTTCCTTTCCAAATTAAAAAGAAATATTTATATAGAGTGATTTTCTTCCCTTCCTATTTTCTTCTCACACCATCTTCAGGAACTAAGCTGGGGGACTAAGACACGATTATGTGTCCTCCAATTTGAGCAGGGATCCTTGTGGCTTCATGTACTCCTCCTTTTCTTAGCAGGAGTGATTTACCATTGGTTTTTCTGTGGTAGTCAAGTAGTAATCATATCCCTCTCTGTATAGCTTTGGAGTCCAAGCAAAGCATCTGCTGGAATCGAAAATCAGAATGAAGATTGTGGCCATACAGGGCTCTGAACCTGGCCTGTCTTGGTCCAACCTAATAATCCCACAGTCCCACTTTCCCGTTTCAGGCGGTGTCCGGCTGCCCCAGATTCTGGGAATTCCCCGGGAACTTCCCCACTTTCTACAGACAGAGCTTCATGTGTGTTTTCTGTTAACAGGCTCAGAAGGGGGCACTGTTTCCCAGAAGATACCACGAATGTCCAAAGAAGCTGTGCCTTACACCCTCAGCCTCAGTGCCAAGGTAGAGTCCCCCTATGTCATCAAACGGGTGGACTCAAAATGCAGTCTTGTACAAAATATGTCAGAGGATCGCACTGCTGCCCAGGTAAGGCTGCTCAGGATCTAACAATTTGGATTGGGAGAAACTTTCGGTAAAAAGTATTTTTCCAGCACCTGCACACTTCATACACAACATCAATAGCATGAACCCAACAACTAAATGAAATACAGGATTGTTCACTCCATTTGAACTGACTTTTAGGAGAAAAGAAACAAAAATAGGATGTGATGCTGAAAAGCAGTGGTGGTAATGCCACAATAGAGGGCTCTAAATGCATAGGAGCTGTCAGATGCAGTTCCTTTTAGAACTGCCAAAAATATTGGTCTGCTGTGAAGTAAGAGCTACAGGTAATGCTCAACTTAACAACTGTTCATTTATTGAATGATGACCTAGAATTACAATAGCCTAGGAAAGGAGGCTTTACAGCAGGTGTGTCAAACTTGATTTCATTGAGGGCTGCATCAGGGTTGTGTTTGATCTGGGGGGAGGGGGGAGATTACAGAGTGGGTATGGCCAGGGTGCATGTGGCCAGCTTAATGTCACTCGTGTCAAGGGCAACTGTGATGGTCCAAGTGCTCTGCTAGAGAAAATGGGCTCCCAAGCTCTGTTTTGGCTGTGATGGCCTCCTGCAACCCTCTGCCAATGAAAGCAGAGCTCAGGAGGGCTGCATGCAGCCTTCCCGAGCTCTGTTTTCACTGGCAGAAGCACTGGAAGCCAGTCTTCGCTGTTTCCAAGGCGGCAATGTGGGCCAGATCTAAGCACCCAGCGGGCCGGATCCGGCCCCTGGGCCTTGATTTTGACATCCCTGCTTTACAATCATAAAGCATCTCTGGCCATTGCAAAACCCCAACAGTCATGTGATCACAGTCTGGGTGCTTGGCAACCTGACCACATTTACAACCAATTGCCAAGCACCTCTCAGTCATGTAATTGTCATTGGCCATCTTCTCCACTAGCTTTCCCAGAAAGTCAGTAGTTGCAAGCTACTGCATCTGCTGAAAGGACTTCCTCTGCTCTATGATGCTGGCTGAAAGAGGTGCATTCTTGCACCCAATCAAAGGATTTCCCTTTCATGAATTGAAGAGAGCTGAACTCCTTGAGCAGACAGTTCTTTCAGCCAGCCCCCAGAGGGCACCAAAATCTAAGCAGAGAGACTGGGTGGTAAGGCTAGGAGTGTGGGGTGCCTGGTGGATGGGACAGGCCCAGTGCAGGCATTGCACAAATGTCTCTTTGTTCAGGGGCTGAAAATCTTGCTCGGAGTTTGGCAGAGAAGACTTTCAGCTCTTGAGCAGAGAAGCAGTTTGATAAGGAAAGGAGTGAAGAGGGTTTTGGGCAGATCCAGCACAAGCTGCACGCACGTGTGTCTCTGCTGGGATTGTGGCTGTTGAGAAAAGCAGTCATATGGGGGTCTTGGTCAAGGACTGAGATTATGTGATAATTGTGGTTGTAAGTCAAGAGTTACCTGTACATGCTTTTCCAAATAATAATTTGTACATAAATAATGCATGTTATTTATGTAAAAATAATGAATAAATCCTACGCTCACTTGCCCTGAAGATATTTAGGGCTCTAAGGGCTGACTGTGCTGGCCCAAAGATTCCCAGTTGCCTGTTCCCCAATTAGGTAGTCTTCAGTTATGTTGTGCTACCAGTCCCATTATTCCCAGAAAGTAAAGCTTATGTAAATGAGATATATACCATGTTGTATATATGACCATTCTCACAAAGGTTAGATGAGCTTGCAAGGCTAAACAGATCTTCTGAAAGTCCTCTTAAAGTGGGCCAAATAGCTAGGTATCTGGATGATCTGTTCCTATCAGTGTTCCTATCAGAGTTAAAAGGGATCTTCCCTTAATGGAAGACTTAAGGCAAGGCAATATTTACATAACAAAATCTTAAGCAACTTTCTTGCCTTAGCTACTTAGCATAGCTTTTGCTATAATAATTCATGGCCTGGGGTCTACCACAATCCTAGAACTACAACCTGCAAACACTTTGGTTTCACTTATCTTCCCAAAGGTCTCCTTGGCTAAAGGGCACAAATTTGATCGTGATGTGGAACTGCTGATATATTATGAAGATGTGCACAAGACCAGTACCATTTTAGAGATTGGGAAATCTGGAGCTGCCCCAGGTAAGCAAAGTTGAAAGCAGAGGTGGGAATTTATGCCATTGCACTACAGTTCTCAGCAATCCCTCTTACTAGGCCTATCAGTGAAGGATGTTGAGAGATGCAACTCAGCAACGTATGGAGGAACACAGGTTCTTTATCTTTCGCATAAGCTATCATGTGGCTGAAGTGGAAGTCCTAAGATTTAGAGAAATCCTGCCTTGAGTGAAAATGCCTCCTTTTTCTTGTGCCATTCCATCATCAGACATTGGCAATCATGTTGCCAATCCTGTTTTTATCAATAGCCACATGAAAAAGTGCTGTTGAGTTTTGTCCAAATCAGTCCCTTAGATTTTGAAGCCATGATGTTGTTCTTCTGCTTGGACCACATTTGAAAACGCCTATTGATTGCTTTCTTCTCGCAAATGTAGGTTCACTGATGGGAGACCCAGCCCTCCTGCTAAGCCTGTATCCAAACATTGTAGCTGCCAAAGCAGGCCAGTGTGTTTCTGGAGAGTTTATCTTCCTGCTGGATCGCTCTGGCAGCATGGATACCCTCATGGGTAACAGTGTTGGTACCCAATCACGCATCGAGAGCGCTAAGGTACTTTAAAGCTTGATGAGTGGGTGAATCAGTTGGATTATTGAAGATGGAGAATGAAAAATGGTCTAGGACAATGGTTCTCAACCTGTGGTCCATGGACCCCTGTGGGGCTGCTATGTATCGCAGGAGGTCCGTGTAGGCTTGAAGAAATATCATGATTTAAATTGTCACCACCGGTTCACAAATGTGAGCGCACGCGCCACTACCGCACATGCATAGGACCTTCGATTTTCGACAATCAGCTGTGACGTGCAATTTAAATTAGCTAGAAAGCAGGAAATCCAACTATTCTAGCTAATATAAATCACACGTCACAGCTGATCATTGGAAATACTGGTTCACCTGAACCGGTAGCATTTTTATTACCAGTTTGGGCAAACCAGTCTGAACCGGTAGCATTTTACCCCTGGTTCGTAGCTACAAAAGGTAATTAAATGGTGTCTGTGGTGAAGAGAAGGCTGATCTACAATATTTATAGGCAACATGTATTGCCTGTGTAGAATTTCCTCAAATCTTTCAAGGTGCTTAAGCTGCTGTACATGGTTCTTTCCCTCTGACCTGTAAAAACAACTCTGTGAAGTACAGGGGATTTAGTGTCTAGGCAAGGTCACAAAGTGAGAGCTGGGATGATAATTGAAGCCCAAGTCCCTTTAACCTACATCCAAACACAACAGTTGACCTTGCAAAGGGAGGACCTCAGAAAAGTAGAGGTGATAAATATGGGAACTGCCGTTTTGAATCTGAAATGATGTGCTGGAATATCTAAAGTGACTCCAGATGTTTCTCTCCCCCTGTTCCATTTCAGGAGACCTTGATTTTCTTACTAAAGAGTCTCCCTCTGGGATGTTACTTCAACATCTTCGGTTTTGGTTCTACTTATGACTCATTTTACCCGTGAGTATGAAAAGATGCCTTTTGTCCATCTTTATATTTCTTGGTTTCTCCAGTTCCTTTTACTTGTTATGTAAAATATATTTGGAAAGAATCAAATGGATAATTTGCTTTTAAAAGAAATACGAGGTTAAATACAAGAAACTCCAAAATCCTTAAATTAGGAGTAGAAGAAAAAAAATTACAGAGTCATGTGTCCTGTATGTACCACTTCCTTGAAATCTCTTTTCTTAACTTGAAAAATCATCTGAAAGCTTTATCATACACCAAAAGCATGTGAGATTTTGGGATTGTAGTGCCCCACTTCACTTTTGAGAGACTGCACTCCAAAAAGAAATAATGCCAGCACAAAAACTAAATTTTACTGACATAAATAAACATTAAGTAAAAATAGTTTAATTTCTCCCAATGTTTTCTCTTTTATAATTAATTATAATAAAAATTATAATTGGGTGAAAGTTCATGAATTTGAGATCTCCTATTGGATCCTAAGGAGGTATTCTCTTGGCTTCTTTGGCCTTCTCGGTAGCCATATAGCGCCCTTGGGTTCTCTATATTTCTTAGCATATTAAAGATGACAGATTACGAAGAATGGCTTTGATCTGTGTGTTGTGCTTTAAAGCTATGAAAAGTGAGATGATGAAGAGTAGATTCTTGTGGATATGGGGAATATATAAAAAGGTTGTTTGGAAGAACTCGGTTTAGTTTAGTAATAACGTTCTGCCCTTCACAGGCAGAGTGTTAAGTATACCCAGCAGACCATGGATGCATCTGTCCAACGTGTGAAGGAGCTGCATTGTGACTTGGGAGGAACAGAGATTGTAAAACCCCTGAAGGCTATTTACAGCCAGCCATGCGTTGAAGGACATCCTCGACAGGTATTTCATTCTAATAAGATCTTTCTTTTTTAGATAGAATCAGGATGTATGGATGAGATTTAAGAAAAAGATTTAGAGAAAAGCACATAATAATGCCCATGACTACCAATATAAGGTGTCAAGATTCAAAATAACCCCCCCTCCAACACAAGAAAACTCCAAGAAGGGAAGTTCCTCAAAGTTCCATTTTATTAGATACCGTATTTTTCCAGAATATAAGACGCGCCAAGGTTTTGAAGAGGCTTTAAAAAAAAAAAAAAAAAAGTAGGTAGGTAGATAGAGGGATAGAGAGATAGAGAAAGACAGAGAAATATAGTAGGTAGGTAGGGAGAGTGAGCGAAAGAGAAATACAGTAGGTAGGAAGGGAGAGAGAGTAGATAGGTAGGTAGATGTTTCCAGGTGTATTTATCCATGTACTAGAGAAGGAAATCACTGACAATCTGCAGCACCTAAGACTTTGTTTCGGCTGCACAGCACTTGATCAATGTAATTCTCATCAATCAGTTAAAGAGCTTTCCAAAAGGGAAAAAAAAAGGTTTTGCACTGTGCAAACTTCCCCAAAACAGCCTGTTTCTCGCGAAAATGGACCCATTATTTTTAACAAAAGGCATGAATATCCTTTGGGGGGTTTGCAGAGTGCTCTGGGGACAAAAACAAGCAAAAAACAGCCCGTTTTTTGCAAATACGGGTCTGTTTTTTTTTTTCAAAAAAATTGCATGCATAGCCTTTAGGAAGCTTATAGAGTGCTTCTGGGGGCTGGGGGGCAAAAAATGGGCCTTTGTTTGCTCTTTTCTGTCCTCCCCAGCCCCCAGGAGCTCTCTGAAAGCCTTCATAAGGCTATCCACAGCCATTTTGGTGAAGGGGCAGGGCTTTGGGAGGCAAAAAATGCTGTATTCAGTGTATAAGACGCACTCAGATTTTCAGCCTCTTTTTTGAGGGAAAAAGGTGCGTCTTATACTCTGAAAAATAGGTATGTCCTCTTGGCACATCTGGGAAAACCCAAATCTGAAAGCTTCCAGGTTTTCCCTACTCAAAAGAAAGCCCAAGTCCCTTCCCATGTGCACCCACATGTCCATCACATGGTCCAATCAATGCACCATCCCAACTGGAGATGCCTCCCAGTCATGCCACTCCAGGTGCAAGCCAAATCTCAAAGAAAGGAATGCTGTTACAAACATAGTCCTGTTAGTCTCTTTCATGGTTTGCAATCAAACAGATGAAACCAATTCATATTTTCTAACATGCAATTGAGACGTTTCATCCATATTTAAATGTTCACTTTCATTTCTCTACATATAGCAATTCTATTTTACAAGATCTTCGTTTAGTTCTATTACATGCTTCTCTTGTTCTTAATTTCTGTTTTTCTTCCATTTCTTCCATTAATCTGCATTATCTAAATTTAGTACTCTTACATTCTTCTAAATGTAATGATTATCACCTGGTGGGCCCGTAAATATTGACCTCCACAGCCCATCATGGCATTACTTCATTAAAGTCTTCCCATGCCACTTTTAATAAGATATGAAAAATAGTGGTCAGGGATCCCCAATCCGCAGGCAGCGGCCCACTACCAGGTCTTGGCCTATTCAGAACTGGGCCGCCAGTTCTGAATAGAGGTAGGCTGAGCGGTAGGCTGATGAGTGCATGCAGATCCACTCACACAAGCAGCACCACAAAGACCTCTCTCTTGCGTGCATGCATGTAACTGTGCACATGTGCACCCACCACTCATGTGCTCCAGTGCCCCTCTCCCCCCCGCTGGGCCACTGCTCTCTTTTACAAGCCATAGGAAGTTCAAATTAAATTTCTCTTCTTGCCTGCTTCTAATCTTCTTCTCCCTACCCTTTACAATTTCCACTTCAAGTTGTTCCCTATCTCCACAGGTCTTTGTGTTCACTGATGGAGAAGTGTGCAATACAAATGAGGTCATTGCTGTGGTTCGACATAACAGTCACTTCCACAGGTAAGAAAAGATAAATGTTTCCCTGTCAGTCTTTTCAGATTCTAGTGCACAGGGCTCACGGAACAGGTAGGAAGAGAGGATGAAATTACTTTCTTGACAATTGAGCCCAAATTGACATTTTGGGCTCAATTGTCGCTTGATTTCTATCAGCTTCTGCCTTCTTCCTTCCTCACTAAACAGGTGCTTCTCCTTTGGCATTGGGGAAGGGGCTTCCACGTCCCTGGTCAAAGGCATTGCTCGAGCTGCTGGAGGCAGTGCCGAATTCATCACTGGCAAAGAACGCATGCAGGCCAAGGTGAGATCTCTTCCTCTCAATGGGTTTTAGCTTTGCTGCATGTCATTGATATATACTTCCAGGATTTAGCATCTTTTAGGCTGCCTAAAACTTAATTATAAGTTTTTAATATTTCAGCTGGGATAGTTTAATACCTTTGTGATGATAAAATGTGGGAGGCATCAGACATTATATGGATTTGGTTCTTTTGTGCTAACATGAACTAATGTGAAAACCCATTGTTTATTTTGGTTTATAATACATGTTCTACATGAGGCTCAAGTATTGGAACATATTTTGGGATAACAGATATAGATTCTTATCTTGTTATTTGGAAGCTTAGGTTGTAAAATGGGGCAAAGTCACTTAACAATTATCTCGCTTAGTAGAAGACATTTTGGGCTCAATTGTGATAGTCAGATTACCTGTATGAATCACACTCCAGTCAGTGATGCTATACACTGCTATACACATTACTGTAAAGTTGGAAAGTTGATCTCATGCATAGGGATTGTTCCATGGGCCCGACTCCATACCCGCCATCTCCAATGGTTCCTCCCACATCAGAGGAGGCATAGGGGCATCCCGGACATCACAATGTGACTGTCCTCCAAGGTGATCCGGTCTCTCTACTGGTGGAACTCCTTCACCTTGCTGAAGGGTTGTCTGTTCAGAGAGCTGGATTGGATAACAATCATGACCGATGCTAGCTTATACGGTTAGGGCGCTCACTCTCAAGCATAAGTAGCCCAGGGATGTTGGAGCCCCCAGGACTTGACAAACAACATCAACTGGCTGGAGCTTTGGGCCATTCATCTGGCCCTCCAACAGTGTTTTTTTTTTTAGACTTATATACCGCTTCATAGGGCTTTCAGCCCTCTCTAAGCGGTTTACAGAGTCAGCATATTGCCCCCAACAACAATCTGGGTCCTCATTTTACCCACCTCGGAAGGATGGAAGGCTGAGTCAACCCTGAGCCGGTGAGATTTGAACAGCCGAACTGCAGAACTGCAGTCAGCTGAAGTAGCCTGCAGTGCTGCATTTAACCACTGCGCCACCTCAGTTCAGAGACTTGGTGGCGGGGCAGCATGTGTTGATCCTCACGGACAATATATCCGCCAAAGCACACATCAACCGCCAAGGGGGCACGCATTCCAAGAGCCTGATGCTGGAGGCACAGGCACTGTGCCTGTAGGCAGAGTCCCATTTGTTATACATCAGGATGGATCACATTTCTGGCTCAGCGAACGTACAGGCAGATTGGCTGAGTCGTGAGACTGCAGATCAGGCGGAGTGGAGGCTCCACCCAGATTTGTTCCAGGAAATAGCTCACAGGTTCGGCATGCCGATACTGGACCTCTTTGCATCCTCCACCAACACCCACCTACCTTGTTTCTTCAGCCGATTCCAGACTCCCAGGGTGGAAGGGATTGACACCCTCCTGTGCCCGTGGCCACAGGGACTGCAATATGCATTCCCGCCCCTGCCATTCATTCCAAGGGTGATTTGCAAGATGTTGATGGAACAGGCGGAGGTGCTGATGGTGGCACCACACTGGCCCTGCAGAAGCTGGTTCGCCGATCTGACCAGTCTATCCGTCACCCCGCCCTGGAGGATCCCAGATAACAGAATAGTTCTCACCCAAAGGGCCCTCCTACACCCGAACCCTCAGTGGCTCCAATTGGCTGTTTGGCCATTGAGAGGGATATACTGAGACAGGACAACTTTGCTGAGCGGGTCATCCGTACCATCCAGGTTGCCAGACGACCATCCACTACGTGACATAGACAACCTTCTGTAGGTGGTGCTGCCCCCTGGGGATTGCCCCGAGATCAACTTTGCTCCCTCAAGTTCTAGAATTCCTCCAGGATGGCCTGGACAGGGGACTGGCCCCGAACACCCTACAAAGACAGATGATGGGGTTTGCCACAGTGCTCCATGGAGGCGTGAGTCGTTCACTGACACATCATCCCAGAGTTCGAGCCTTTCTGAGAGGTCCTGCCAACTTCAGATCTCCAACGGTTCATTGTTACCCATCGTAACAATGTACTTGAAGCCCTGACATCTGCACTGTTTGAACCACTCCGTTCCATTAGTCTACATCTACTGACTCTGAAAGTAGTCTTTCTTGTGGCAATAACCTCGGCTCAGAGGATCTCAGAGCTGGCAGCCCTGTCGGTGCATAGCGACCTCTGTATTTTCCACCCAAACAGGGTGGTCCTGCGCCTTGATCCTTCCTTCCTCATGAAGATCAACATCTGGTTCCATCAGGCCTAGGAGTTGGTGTTACCAAACTTTTGCCCCTGTACAATGCACCCCCGTGAATGGAAATGGCATCACCTTGACATACGACGAGCCCTTCGACGCTACATGAAGTGCACGGCGTCTTTCCGGTGATCAAAGGCGCTCTTTGTGGCCTTCCTTCCAGGCTCCATGGGCCAGAAAGTTTCATCCACCACAATTGGAAGATGGCTAAAGGCCTGCATCGCCACTCAACGCACAACGCAGCCACGACTACAGCCTGGACACACAAGCGTCTGACAAGGAAATTTGTAGGGTGGCGGCGTGGTCATCTCCGTCACCCTTCATCAGGCACTATAAGTTAGACAGCTATGCTTCAGCCAAAGCTTCCTTCGAACGCCAGGTTTTGGAGTTGGTTCACTCAGACACTGGATCCCTGGACCGGCCTTCTACCCACCCTTAGGTCAGTATGCTTAGGCATATCCCATTCCTTTGGATTCTCTAAGCAGCGCACTGGAGAATGACCGTTGTACTTACCTAAACGGTCGTTCTCGGTGCTCTGCGTGAGAATCCAACCCCACCCATACACAAGTCGGCCCAGGGTCAAGGGCGACCAATGGTTTCGAGTTAGGAGGGTGTTCTATGTGCTTTCATCTCTCAAAACGGCCATGCCTTCCATTGAAAAAACTGATCAGCCGAGTGAAAAAAGAGGCGTGGCCAAACTTCTTCAATTCAGTCTCGAGGCAAGCAGACCGAAATTAACCCATTTCTTTGAATTCTGACACAGCACACCAAGAACGACCATTCAGGTAAATACCATGGTGATTACCATATATTCCTGCATTCTGGAATAAGACATAATCATTCTTCTTTGTTTGGATTTATAACCTTCCTTTCATTTAGGAGCTCAAGGCAATGTATTAATTTGTTTAAATGTTTTAAGGCCACTCAATTCATCATTAATTCTGCAGTCGCTTTCAGATTTGAAGAGTGCCACTGAATCCCTCCTCAACCATCTTTTCTGAGTTCTAAACATACTCTGCACCTTCAATCTACCTTCACAGAGCTTAGTTTCTAATTCCCTCATCTTTTTTCTCTGAATCTGGTTGGTTCTTTTCACTCCTTCTTAAAGAGTAATGGCCAGAACTGAACATGGCATTCAAGGTGGAGTCTGTACAAAGCAGAATATAGTTAAATAATTATTTCCAGGACTTGAAAATTATTCTTCTGCATTTGCCGGCTTTGCAGACAAAAGCTGCAGTTTATATTCAGTTTTCAGTCAAGTAGTTTTGTTTCGCCAATATTATTACCAATCACAGCCCAGAGAACTTACTGTGTCATGAGGAGTGGGAGCAGAAAAGAATGTTGTGTGCAGCCAAAATGTTGATTGTTTTTGCAGATGATATTTTATAATCTCAAAGCTAAAGCAATAACAACCTTAACATTTTCAAAGCAAATTTTGTCTTTTATTTCTCAGAGGATCCTGAAATCTTATATTGCTTTTTCATAAAATTCCTGTTTCCTGCAGGCTTTGCAAAGTCTGAAGAAGGCCCTTCAGCCAGCAGTGTCGGGGATCTCTCTGAGCTGGGAGTTGCCTTCTGGCCTTGAGGCCAACCTTGTGGGGTCAGGCCCTCAGGTCATTTTCCAAGGTCAGCGCTGCCTCATCTATGCCCAGATCCGGGGCCAACCACAGGCAAGTGATCCACCTGAGGCCCACCAACCTGAGAAATCCTCCGTCAGGTGGACGGTGCCTTGCACTGGCTCAGCTAAGGGTACTCAGTTGCCCTTCCTTCGCAGCTCTAATCCCAGAATGTCCTGATTCTTAGAAGAAAAGCATTCCCTTATTTTCCCCTTCCTTCCTTTTGTTTTTATACAGACGTCAGGCTCCATGGAAGGGACAGCCGTCGTTCGGTATAATTTCCAAAATGAGACTCAGACAGAAACAATAAAGTTCTCATTCCAACTTGAGAAGACAGAAAGGTAGAACCCAGACCCCTTCCTTCGAGGTAGAACCCAAGCCTGAACAAACCCTTTAAAAGAGGCACATGAGTGTGTCAGTGGGAGCACATTCAAGTTATTTCTCTGAATCCTGAAGCAGATGCCTCTTTTTTTCAGAGTTTCTTCATGAGCTGCTCCCAGCTATCTCTCCACACATGATGCAGCCAGGAGTAGCTTATGAACCAAAGATGAAGCTGTTTTGTTGATTCAGAGAGAGGTGCTTTTCACCTAGCAGAGTCATTTCCTCTTGGAGATAGCATGTCCTTTGTATGTTAAGCCAAATGAAAGTAGGAAGTCACCACTTTAATCAACTTTATTGCTTAGATATGTGTGTGTGTGTGTGTGTGTGTGTCATCTCTTGCCCTCTGGATTCATATCCTTTAGCCAAGAGATTTGGCTGGATTCATAATTGTTCTAGCAGTTTTCAGAATAAAGACATAGTTAAGGAGACATTGGTTGACTAAAGCTGAACAGCCCAAGCCAATGCAAAATAAACCATATGTGTTCTTTCACGTTTCTTCCAAGCTACAGAAATGCCCTCCCAGGGGTACATTCAGGCTCTGCATTTTCTCTTTTCAGATAAGAGATAACAAGGATAAGTCTTTTTAGCCTAGATTTTTCAGCTTCTCGAGTTAAAATGCAAAACAAGTAGTTAAGTATTAACCTTTTCCTGTATTTGCTGTCAGCTGACTCTCTGGGCACAAAACCACAATATAGAAGGAACTGAGAATCAATTAAGACTTTGATGTAATGGCAGCCCTTTCTCTACCTATCCCTCCCCTTTCTGTGCAGGCTCCCTGTTCACCGTCTTGCTGCTCAGGCACTATTGAAGGAATTAGAAGAAGACAAGGAGAAGATGGAAGAAAAGCGGGTTCTGGCACTAGAGACAAGCCTGAGCTCTGGGGTGGTGTGTTCCCAGACAGCTTACGTGGGTGTGAACACAGAGCTGGGCAAACCGATTCAAGGACCTCTCCTCCACCGAGAAATCCCGATTTCATGTGAGTCAGGAGCCAAAGATGGCGGATAAGTCCCAGGCCTTGAATGGCCGTTAAATCAAATGGGGATCAGATTTGCAGCTGAACCTCTCCAGATAGTCTGGAGTCTTGCTAGGGGGAACATAAGTTAAAAAGCCCCATTGCTCCCTGGGTTTTAGTTGCCCAACAGTTGGCAGAGCAAGGGGCAGGTATCCACTCTGTTTGGCAGGATTAGGGCTAGGGTTAACATCGACATGTCATATTCTTGTAATGACCTAGCTGGAATGCTAGTTTTTTTTACCTTCTTCCTGAGCTGTCAGGCTGTTGGATGTTTAATATCTGAATAGGAATCGTTGATTGTAAAATTAAAAGAATAAATACAGTAATGATTTCTACATTAGGCTATTCCCTCTTTCCTTCAGAGAATAAATCATCTCCAGGCATTTTTTCTGACTTCTTGTAGGCAGCTGCAAATCTTTCTTGAGAAAGTTACTATCCTAGGGATGGAAGGGCAGCTTTTTAGTAGTTTGGGGGTCACAAAGTTAAAGATAGTAAAGAATTGGACAATTATGCATTGTGAATGAAGCTGAATAATGCTGCAGACATTTCCCATTTTTCCAGGTTTTGAAACTACAGACTGGGGTCATTCTAAAACAGTGATGTGCAGTCAGGTGAGGCAAGTGAGGCACAGCCTCACCGCTCTCATCATGAAAAGAAAAGAAAAATGTAAAAGAAAAAAGCTGAGGTAGTTGCTGCCTCACCGTGAATGACTCTGCTTAACTATTAAAAAAAGCCTCTAAAAAAGCTTCCTCTACTATGAGGAGGAGAACTGCATGTCTCACCTAGTCTGACTTTTTAGGCGTTTTATGATAGCTATGTGTGAAATGTTTTTCTTGTGCTGAGCGATCATAAAATGCCTAAAAATTCAGACTAGGTGAGGCACGCAGTTCTCCTGTCTCATAGCAGAGGGCGCTTGTTTGGGCGGGGCTTCTTCAGAGGACCCGAGGCAAGAGCAGAGTTGAAGTCCTCTCTGAAGCAGCTGGAAAAGGTACGTATGGGTTGGAGGGAGAGGGAGGAATTCAAACTTTGTCCTCCTGGGGCTGTGCGGGGCTGTGGGCAAAGACTGGAGGGAAGGACCCTGGCTTGCTCATGCTCTCCCTCCCCAAGTGTAGTTTGATTGCAGGCAGAGCCATGTTGCCTTTCAAACCTGTAATCAATGAAGCTGGGCTGGATTT